CTATACCCATGAAGCCGGCACTGTTCATAGTCTGCTCCCCGTGATCGAGAAAATCTCCATAAACGATCGAGTGGAGATCGATCAGAAGAACTGAAAAACCAGNTCATTGTTCAGGCTATAGACGCATTCAAAACGCTACTTTAATCCTGAATGGTAATCGAAAGCGGCGACAGGACGGGATAGATTGGGCCAATGATTTTTTCGTCCCTTGTATCGTAATTGTCTTGTTTAGGCATAGAAATTTTTTTTGAGAGTACCCTGCAACTACCCTCAGAATAGGGTAATGAATTCTCTGGAAAAAAGGATTCATTCAAAGAAAATTACTTTGTTGTTGTAATTTTTGCCGTCCCTCGGAATCGAGGTGAGGTTTGCCGGGGACACGATGCGCGCGGCGTGAGCTGCGCAAAGATTTGAGTCAATGTTGAATTCACCCATCTTTCATCTGGGTTGCCCTTAAGCAAGATAGTAACTCAGCTTTCACAGCGATGGCCATCGAAAATTATTTATCTGGAAGAATTGATGTGATAGTTCAATGCAGCAAGAAGGCGATGGCAAGTGAAGAGAACAAAAAATGGATGGGCTGGAGATCACGAAAGTGACTACGAATACTTCAGTGCTAAGGTTCACAGGGGACTCATTCCGTGATTTGAATCACACCTTTGTTGGTCAAGCCCAGATCAAAACTGAAATCCGCTGAACTAATTCTGATCCTTAGTTTATACTACGCCAGTTCAATCCTGAGCATGAGCCCTACTCGGGCTTGTACATTGCAGTCGACGGTGTTCCAAGGCCCTAAAGGTAAAGGTACACCGGACAGTGGTTAGGCCCTAGATGTTTCAAGGTAGCCAGAACCTTTGAGCCCGTGCCTTTAATTATCATGGCTTATAGGCCATAATCATCAAAGGCATCTTCACACAGCTCTAATAAAGATGTTGAGATGAGCTTGCGGTTGGACGAGAAGGGACCCGGCCAGACAAGTTACTTCGTACGGATCATACGAAGTCCTACTAGAAGAGAAAGCGTGAGTAGCGTCTGAGAAGGTAAATGAATACCCTGAAAAGGCCACAGGGTCTCATGATTGAGTTGGTTAGCTGAAAGCTGAAAGGAAGCGACTTCGTGGAACGCCGAAGAAGAGATGGAGGGAAGAGAACAACATGGACCTCGTAGAAGAGGTGACAACTAACATAAACATCGAAGCCTAACACATCTCGAGATTGACCTACAGTTAACGGAAGAAGAAGGAAAATATATTCAAACAATCCTATGATTCCAGCCTAACCTGAGTGTGTGGCGCAAATTTCTATGAAGAATTGGTAAATGTTCAAGAGAACCGATCCCTCATATCGAAAGGTATGCGGTCGCTATTGTCACCAATCTACTTAAAATCAATCAGTATGGAAAAGCTGTTATCAGCCGATATCGCGGAAACTATCAATTTTGAAGGGTTTGGCTGATTGGGGGTCAACAAGCCAGAAAACCAATGAACTCTCATCTTTCCTCGTACTCCGGAGAATTCATCGCACATTTTATTGCATCTTAACGACTTTTTCCAGTTTGCTCATTCTTATGTTCACGCTCAGTCTACTTATTAGGCCATTTCTAGAAGTCCATCAGAGTTGCTTGAATTTTCTGCTCCAAAAATCCTAATTTAAAGCAGTCATTTGAGGTCCATCATTGAGATTTTCTTCTCGGTTTCAGTTCATGAAGTTTTAGGAACTCTCGGATAGGCAGGAATTATCTTTTCACAGGGTGAAGCTATCCTCTGACTCCCTCCACTGTTCGGAATCTGGCCATACTCCTGAACACAGAGCCAGACTATACCCATGAAGCCGGCACTGTTCATAGTCTGCTCCTCATGGTCGAGAAAATCCGCATAAACGATCGAGTGAATATCGATAAGAACTGAAAAACCAGGGAACTAAGAAGCGGCTGATATCACTTCTGTTTTCTCCGTTTAAGAATTTTCGTTATAATATACGGGCCATATTCTTTGGTTCAAGATTTATTGTGCGATGGTATAGATGCATGAATTCTGATTGCACGACTGGACCACATTCTCTCGAACTGCCTGAAGATCATCGAATTAAATTTTTTATCGTTTCTTTCGTCGTTTTTCATTTTTCGCCTGACTCTATCATGGTATACCTGGAAGGTCGGCATTACCCTTACCCATAGAACAGAAATTTAGAGAGATATAAAAAAGCTTAGATAAAATAGGATCATCTCCGACAGGTTCCACTTATTTCTCCATGTTCACTCTTTCGCTAACTCTGAGATTTCTCTATTCCTGCCTCTAATTCTAATTTGTATTTTAATTGCCATCGACTTCGAAGGAAGCAATTTGCCTTCCAACAATCTCATGGTTAAAACGGTCTTTACAGGCCCCTTTTTAGCTGGCTTTCCCTAAATGTACCTAAAGTTTGGATAGTAGGGCGAAGTTACTTTATTTGAGGTTACGCTCGCTACCATCGTAGTCTCTGTCGAACCACCTTAACGAATAAAGATAGTAATGACACACGTCACAAACGTGAAAGCAGTTTCCGTAATCGAGCGAACGTATATTTGAAGGAATTTTTTCAGAGTCATCATAAAAGGAGTGTCTTCAAACTCTTAGTTAGCGGATGGGGAGAACGGGAAAGATATCAATACCGGTATGCATGTACTGAAGCAATCGATAAAAAATAAATTGATAATCAGCAGTAATCCACGCGTATGTCAAGACGACGTTTGTTCCTCAACCTCAGCTATCAGTGTCACAGCTCCCCCTGCCTATTATTATGTTGGAGGTGCCGCCGCGCTGCCGCACGCGTCTTGTTCGGTCGAACCCACAAAAGTAAAATGTTATTTTTGTGATGTTTACATTTTGCACTGCTTATATTTTCTCGACTTTCGTACATAGAACGACCGCTCTCATTTTTCCTCTGCTGGGCAGACGTCAAATCCTCTTACCATGCCAGGAAGGTCGAGTCCTTGTTACAATTTGCTTTAGTTCACGAATGACCTGCTACGTGCAAAGGGGCTAATCGGCTGGTTCTTATCACCTATTAGCCTGTTGAAATATTTATATTTGTAAAATGTGCTCCGGTACTTTGGTCCCTAGAAGTCAAGACAAGCACAATCGATCAATGCCAGCCCTACAGTACTCCTTATCAGTCCTCAAAATGTCGCACTCATATAGCTAGAAATCAAAGATTTTACAATAGCTTCTGGCACCTCGGACATCATTGACTAGATGCATCGGAACTAGCAAGAAGGATTACTTTTGCCTGCGGTCGATGATGTATGTCACCGGCAATGTTTTCTTGTGAGTTGCTCGAGTCGATATGCTGTGGTTGGGAATAGATTGTCATCAGTGTGAGGGAATAAAGAGTACCTTCGAAAACTCTTTAAATTCATGAAATCGTGAAAGATTTGTGAATCCTCAAGGGTAACGGATGTCAAGGGCAATGAGTGTTGGCGTATAGCACGTCCTGGACATTCGGAACATCGCCTTGGCAACGATATTCGGGAGCAGGGCAATATAATTGTTCAGCCTGATCTTGGGCAAAGTTTATGGGGCTACAAATATGTAGAAGTCAGGGACAATCAATCTGTGAACCACAATCAGTCAATACCGTAATATGCCGTAACTTTCGCTGAAAACCTTTTCAGCTCTCCTTGGCCACTACCTTGGATTATGTGCTTCTTGCGATTGGTACGCTGGCGTCGTGTATTCATGGCGCTGGATTCTCAGTACTCGGTATTGTACTCGGTGGTATGACGACAGTCTTTCTCAGAGCTCAAAACTCAGAATTCGTTCTGGGCACTGCTAGTCGAGATCCGGAAGGACTACCAGCGCTTACTAAGTGAGTTCNTTTGCTATGGCTCGAAAGAGCTGTAGTATGTCATGGGCGATGTTCGCTTTTATGCTACCAGGTCTTATTAAATGCATATTCCTCGACTGAGAAACTATTTTTTTCAGGGAAGAATTCGACACACTAGTACGTAGGTATTGCTTATACTATCTTGGATTAGGCTTTGCTATGTTTGCAACATCTTATATACAGGTAATTCCTTTGATTTTCACTCATTCCTGCTCTTATCAGACCTGTGTTATCGATTAGTCGTAAATCCTACGCGTGCCAAGAATCCATTGGCGGTTTACGTGTCTGCACCTGTTGACAACGGACGTATGTCACGACAATGTTCGTTAAGACATAATTTCGATTCATTGCTTATAACTCAGGCTACCAAGAAACAAAACCAAAGAAATATCGGAGTGTACAAATAAATAAATAAAACAAATAAATAACTTAGGGATTTCGGTTTTTGCCATCTTATTTGTAATCGATTTTCATAATCTCAGATTGTATGTTGGGAGACGTTCGCTGAACGGATAACGCATAAATTACGAAAAATTTATCTGAAAGCTATACTTCGGCAGCAGATCTCATGGTTTGACATCCAACAAACAGGAAATCTCACAGCTCGTCTTACCGAGTGAGTAATCGATTATCGATTGATGGCAGATTTTTGAGAAAACTCGTCTTTTTAGTGATCTCGAACGTGTTCGTGAAGGACTCGGTGATAAACTGTCACTTTTTATACAAATGATGTCTGCATTTGTGGCTGGTTTCTGTGTAGGATTCGCGTATAGGTCGGTTAGTTCGGGCTGTCAAACACCGCCCTCTGGACGAGTTACCCTGTTGCAGTTGGTCAATGACACTCGTGATGATGGTCGTGGCGCCGTTTATAGTTATTTCAGCGAATTGGATGTCAAAAATCGTTGCTACTAGGTGAGCGTCTATTGACAATTCTTGCGACCTCGACAGGACCGCCCTCTTTTTTCCGGTTTTCGCAAGATTACCATGAGGCGGCTCTCCTATAGTGGGACTCCTGCTGGAACTTATATTCACAGTTTTCTTTCAGGACCCAAGTGGAACAGGAAACCTACGCTGTTGCCGGTGCTATAGCAGAAGAGACTTTCTCATCGATACGGACCGTACACTCGTTATGTGGCCACAAAAGAGAGCTCACAAGGTTGGCTACAGGCTATTACGATGTCTACCGTAATGCAGACGGTTATATGGTACTTTAAGATTCGAGGCAGCGTTGGAAAAAGGACGTCAGACGGGTCTTGTCAAATATTTCTATATGGGTGTTGGTGTAGGATTTGGTCAGATGTAAAGGACGTCAGACGGGTCTTGTCAAATATTTCTATATGGGTGTTGGTGTAGGATTTGGTCAGATGTGTACCTATGTGTCTTACGCCTTAGCTTTTTGGTAAGTGACTTCCCAGATCTGTCACTTACGGACCAATCGGTCCGTGGGATTTCATTGACTCCTTCCAGGTATGGTAGTGTCCTAATAATCAACGACCCAACACTGGATCGTGGCCGAATTTTCACTGTTAGTTTCCCTTTCATGGAAGTCAGTTTCCAATCCTCCAGTCGATAACTATCTTTTGCACAGGTCTTTTTTGCGGTAATGTCCGGCTCAGCAGCTCTTGGCACCTGTCTGCCACATCTTAACACCATATCCATCGCTCGAGGAGCGGTACGAAGTGTACTGTCAGTGATCAATAGTGTGAGTGTCGGGGGCGGTTCTTGGAGTCAGAGACGCAGAGTGGTCCCTTCGATCGTTCCCGTTTCAGCGCCCAAAAATCGATCCCTATTCGTTGGATGGCATTGTTCTGAACAATATGAGAGGATCTATTCGTTTCAAGAACGTACACTTCTCATATCCTTCACGAAGTACATTGCAGGTAAGGCCGCTGATCAGAGCTCTTGAGGGTACCATGGTCGTACTGCTTAATCGTGTCCATTCAGATATTGAAAGGTGTGTCACTGCAAGTGTCGGCTGGCCAAAAAATTGCTTTGGTGGGTTCAAGTGGTTGTGGAAAGTCAACAATCGTCAATTTACTATTGAGATTTTATGATCCAACACGAGGAAAGGTATGTGGATTTTTAGGACAAGGGGGGGGGGGGG